ACGTCAGGGCAACGCGCGGACCCCGGGAGCCGGCGGTCCAATCGTGCGTCCTCTGCACACTGTCCCACGGACGGAAACAAGGCGCAGTCGCGCTTTCATTTGGCGTCTTTAAACGACCGCCTTTGTTCCATTTGTTTGCGATGATGGCTTCAGCCATATGGCGCCGCTCTCACGGAGAGCCGTTTTTTTTTTTTATCTTCTGCAGCCAGTTGTTTATTCCACGAGGTAATTGATGCCCTTCAATCATGTCATCTTTTCTGCAGGCTTGGTGCAGAGGGTGGGAAGCGCCAGGAATGAATGCTCATTTTACACCTGCTGTTTTGCCAGTCACCTCACATGAAGATGCAAATATGCTTTAAAACCTCATGAATGTCACGCGCTAAATAAGCACGGATGCAAATTCATGTTAAAAAGTTTCCTCTTTGGTCAACTTCCGTATTCATAAAGCACTGCATCTTTCTTTGACGTGGACATCTATCATGTTCAGACTGTCAGATTAATTGGTTGTGCTTAACTGAGCCACATCTGCAACATTTCAGCCTGTGACTCTGATGTATTCACGTGTGACATTTGGCCAGTTTGTGCTTTTCTGTAAAGTTTAACATTCTGTTTAAAAAAAAGGAGCCAGAATCATCATCAATTATACACATGAGGCCATCTTCCAAACCAAATCAATAAATGACACTGGCTGTTCTTCCGTGTGTTTGTGCTGCTGCTGCATCGTGGGAAGCGGCGCGTCGCGACCGCTTGTTGTCGCACTGGCAGCGTCAATAACACATGCAGAATATTGAGGACGATTGTGATCAAACCGAATGAGCTCTCGTCAGCTCATCCGAAAGGAAAATATTCACAGCGAAAGAAACGATAAAATAATGTATATTTAAAACTGCCGCTGTTGAATTCCAGCACAGACGATCCATTACGTAAGAACTTTATTTCCTGTATCGTATGAGGAGACGTCGGTGTCTTTGCACAGCCAGTAATGTAAAAGCTTCACTCACAGCTCAAAGAACGTCCCTGTGCTTTATTTTCAGGAGGTTTCATGTACAAAGTGAAGATGAACGCGGGCCGGTGATGTGGGAGAAGAGGACCTGGCTCGCCCGCTGATGGAAGCGGGACGGCCTTTAGGGGGATCTCCAGGGAGGAGGTTTTGATCAGGACCAGCTGTCACTAGTGTCCTCAGCCATCCTGTCGGGTCCTACAGAACTATCGTGGGCCGGTTTGGAGCGGGGAGGCTGTGACGTGTTTGATATTGTCCGACGGTTTGCTCCTGCCTCTCAACAGACGTGACGTAGATTTCTTAAATCCCACCGGACTCAATAATGTTGTATTTGGCTACTGAGGAGGTGTGAGGTTGTGATGCATGTGGTCTACAGAAGCACTTGGTCCCCTGTCTGACAACAGAATGTGAAACGAATGTAGTATTTCCTTTATCACCATTACAGATATTCTTGACTAAGATGCAAGACAATGTTAATATTTATTTGATTTGATTGTGATTCACTCAATGGTTGATGCCCATTTCAACATGTGCAAGACAACCTTCGTGTTGATTCACAGTTGAACCTGCACCATGCACATTGCATAACCACATGCAGTGGATCCCTCCACTACTCTCAGCCCGGAAGGTCACATTCAGGTTGAGGGAAAACAAAACAAAGCGAACTCTCTCCACCGTTACTTCAGCCAGAACGGCAGCATTCTCTGTATTTGTTTAGCCTCCTTAAAGTTGCACCTTCACCGTAGCAAAACAAAGCCTCCCACTCCACAACAGACCCTCTAAGACCCTCCGTGCTCCGGCCTCTAGGCTTGTTCTTTTCATGTACGCATCCACTTGCCGATAGCCGCTGAAGAATGACTCATTTGACCGACCATTTTTATACTTTTTTTTTTTTTTTTTTCCTCCTGCACCTCTCAGTAAACCGTGTCTTTTGTTTTTTTTTTCCACTGTTGTAATCACAAACATGTCACTCAGAGCGTAAAGTAACGGGATTATTCATTGCCAACTGACCAGTGAGACTCACTTCAAATGTCCCGGCTGACTGTTGTTGATGAAAAGCCGCTTTACGCCCCGGATTGATGTTCCAAGTCGGACTCGAGTTACACCTGAATACAAATGCCTTTCGTTATCCGCTCAGCTCCGGCGCTGGTGTGCGACAGAAAACACTTGTTTTCTGTCAATACTGAGACGCTTTTCTACAAATCACACCTCGATATGTGTGTGTGTGGTTTTTTTTAATGAATCAGTGGATCACAGAAATCTTCCCACCTCTCCAGAATGTGCTCTCTGAGGACCCAGCAGCTTATTATGAGTGGACTCTTTTAGAATAATTGATTGCTTTTGACACGACGTGGAGGAAGCTCGGATTGATGCTCCTCAGCGGCGCCCTGATCAATCCAAATGAGGAGCCTGTGGGGGGGCGGGAGGGGGGCAGGGAAGGCTTATTTCCCTGCCAGAGTTTATTAGAAGCAAACTCGGCTCCTCCAGAAACAGCTCGGACACGTTAGTTGTCCGGGAATGTAAGTTAGCGTGATCCCTCAGCTCATCGCGCCTGAAAATATTCCCGGCGCACCGGCGTCTGCCGGAATGTCATGAAACATGGAGTTGAATGTTGCGGTGGGCGTCAAGGCACAAAAGATCCGCTGTGATTCGGGATGCTGCACGTTCTGGATGATGAATCAGCCCTTGGAGACAACTGGGTATCCTCCACATCTGAATTTCATGCATAATGGGTGTGAAATGGATTTGCTTCCCCAAGTCAAACTATACAACCCCGACACCACTGGAGAAATGTAGTTTGAAAAAGGTGTTTTTTTCTATTTTCGGCCATTTGCTTGACTTTAGATGTTGTTTAGTTTACATTTAATGGATCTGTTGCAAGGAAATTCTTAAATTACTTTTGCGTAATGGTGTACGACTTCATTCAGCTGTTTTCCAAAGGACGACACTGCGTTCTGTTCAGGCCGGTCAAAGTATCAAAGAGTCTTTGTGCATTTGTTGACTTTATTATTAATGCATCTCTCAAAGAACCAAAAAGGTGATTCTGTTACATGCAACTCACCGTGGACACTATTCCACGTTTCTTAGGGGCTATTCAAGCAGGAGAGGCTCTTAGCTTTACCCCTCTCTGTTTTCAATGCAAGTAAAACCGTTTCACATGAGTAGAAACGCTCAGCCTGCAGCGGCGAACAGCAGGTGGTTTGCAGCTCTTCGGCGCTCCGGATGTCATCTGCACCCACCGGAATGACCCGCGCCGCTGATACGGAGACAAAGACAAGACAGCAGAGTTTACGGTTCGCTCGTGTTTACGTCGGTTCCGCTGCGAGGCCGGAGAGAGAAATGAGTTTGTTTATCAGCATTTTTGATTTCCGTCGCGCTGACGCTTTGAGACCCGCGTGAACCGTCTTTGGCAGTTTCCATGGTTGCATAAATGGAATGCGTGACGATTAGCGAGGACAACGGCCCGTTTTCGTTTACGCCTTCGATCCTTGAACATACACTTCCCTAAACCAGTTCAGGTCCGTACAGTAAACAGGTTCCAGGCGATTCCTTCCACCTACTGTACCTCAGTGCAGAGCTGAAGTCCTTGAAAGGTTACAAAAGTCTTTAGCCGTTCATTATAGTGTGTGTGGGGGGGGGGGAGACGTGTGGAAAGTGATGGAATATAATGAAAACTAATACTCTTTCTGGTCACTGTGCAGTTGATATGTTTAATATCCCATTACAGGCCCAGAAGTAACCACAGTTCTCTGCTGTCAAGAGACAAAACACCATCCAGAGGGAAATTACCCATCAGGAAGGCAATACGGTTACTGAGATGCAATTACCAGACCACTTGTGAGACTTTCAGTCCAGTATGTGTGCACGTGTGTGTGCACGTGTGTGTGCATGTGTGTGTGGTCGATACTTGCATAACAGCTCTTATGTTTTGCAGAGTAAATTGGATTCTTTGCTGGAGAACAGTTCATTTAGAAAATGTCCAGGATGCAAAAGATTGATGTGACCATGTCGTTACAACTGTAGGTCCGTGGTGCCGAGTCGTCTTATGGAGCAAGAGAGAAAGAAACAAGTTTCATCCCGGAATTGTGGATCAATTTTTCCAGACCCAACAGTATTTTGGGGATGGCTGTTCACAAATTAATTTCCAAGCCGAGATGACTTAATTTAAACTGTATTCGTGCTTAGATTTAGTTCACCTTCATTATATTGTGGAGCTCATATTTGTTAAATGGTGGAACATACAGCGCGTCTCACGAAGGATTTAATGTTGTTAATTTAGCAGCACAGATTGGAATGAACATCGGTGTAAACAATGCGAGACGCTGAAGGCGAATGCTTTGCTTTCTCATTGATACAAAAATAGAAAGTGTACAAAACCAGACGCCCTCCTGTGCGTTTGTCGCAGCGCGGCCTCAGACGGCGGCAAACGGCCTCACGCGCAGAGCGATCTCTCAAGCCGTGGACGTTTTCTATTGTACCACAAATTATCCCCCTTGATTGTGGTAATGAATCCGCGCAAACTTCAGTGAACAGACCCCCCCCCCCCAAACCCCCACCAACCTCAGACGAGGGGAAGCGGAGCCTTCACCCATCGCGGGGGAAGGAACCGCCTGTTCGGAGCGCGAGCCTTGCATACATAATCAATGTATGACAAAACAATACCCCGGGCGCCGGGTATTAATGATATGCAGGGAACTCATTATTAAAGTTCCAAAACAGCTCCTGGAGTAACACAGATGGAGTCAATTAAGCAATGAGCATACTTGCCTGCCTGCCGTTTCATCTTCTCGTTCCCTTTTATCTCTGGCATATTACTCCGTGGATGCAATTAGCCGCGTGTTGCTCCTCACAACACAGTGTCCACTGTTAACAACAGCTATTTCCACTTGTAATTTCTGATAATGTACTGCTTAAGAACTGTACCAGATTAGCTGGAGCGGTTGTCCTTGGGTGTTTCATTTGCACCGTAAACTGACCCCTCATCTGTTTGCGTTGGCAGGGACCTGATGCCTTCAACGCTGGAAGGCCAGATCACCATGGAGAAGACGCCCAGCTACTTTGTGACCAACCACGCCCCCAAGCGCATCCACTCCATGGCCCGGGACATCAAGCTCATCATAGTGGTGCGTAACCCGGTCACCAGGGCCATTTCCGATTACACGCAGACTTTGTCCAAGAAACCGGAGATCTCCACCTTCGAGGTCCTGGCCTTCAAGAACCGCACGCTGGGCCTCATAGACGCCTCGTGGAGCGCGTTGCGGATAGGGATATATGCGCTGCACCTGGAGAGCTGGATGCAGTATTTCCCGCTCTCCCAAATGCACTTTGTGAGCGGCGAGAGGCTCATAGTGGATCCCGCCGGCGAAATGGCCAAAGTGCAGGACTTCCTGGGGCTCAAGCGGATCGTCACGGACAAACACTTTTACTTCAACAAAACGAAAGGATTCCCGTGTCTGAAGAAGCCCGAGGACAGCAGCACGCCGCGCTGCCTCGGCAAGTCCAAGGGGAGGACTCACCCCAAAATCGACCCGGACGTGATTCGCCGGCTGCACAAGTTCTACAAACCCTTTAACATGATGTTCTACCAAATGACGGGCCAGAACTTTGAGTGGGAGCTGCAGGAGGACAGTGGATCTCGCGGCCCTCAGGACTAGCGGACTTCCACCAGCCTTGGCAGATTAAAAGCTACATCGCCCGGCTTCACGAGTGCTCGAGCACGCCAATCAATCATGGCCGTCTTTGCAGTGTCTGTATCCATTAGCAAGTTTACCGACATGCTTTTTCTCTCCCTTCAATACTAATGTTGTTGATGATGATGGCAAATCATTGTTGTAAATACTGAAACATAAAATATATTTATATTTGTGAAAAGGAGACGATTTATTCATTTTTGTTGTCAAAGCATAGAGCTGATGTGAAAGAGATGATGTTTGACGAAGGCAATGCATGCGATAAGTGTCCTTTCCTCATGAGCCCGAAGGCTGAACTCCGTCCGTTGCCTCCTCGCGTCCTCTCGCCGGCATTACAAACGGATGTTCTGTGTCGACGAACTTTCTGTTTCACGTCTTCTCAGACCTGCTGCTTTTAGAAGAGACACAAAATGAGGCGATACGCGAATACTCTTCCCACGTGCTCGTCTTCTCGGTTTGATATTCTGAGTGGAGACAATCCTGTTCCAGTCTAAGTTTACCAAAGTGTTAATTTACTCAGCGTCAGTGTTCTTCATGCCCTGCACTCATTAACTGCGCACACATTCAATGAGGGGAGCTGCTGCACAGCGGCCGTCATTCAATAATTGGATTGTTCCACTGCATCGCTGGATATTAGCATACCGATGGCCGCGCACTCCGACGCGACGCAGGGGAGATTACATCCACGTACCGCGCGTAAAGAGCTCGCTGCGGATCAAACTGTTCCGCGTCTGGACAAAAACAAAATTTTCCAGTCGTACGAAATGCACCCGAATTCCCAACGAACCCCCCAGCGGCACTCAGCCCCGCGAGTCGCCTCCTTGTCGCAGTAACACGTGTCGAAAAGGGGGGGTGGGGGGGGGCGGTTTGTTAACACGCATCTGCTGCGACGCCCCTCTTCTGTCGTCGGGAGATCAATGGCGTGTTAAATAAACTGCTGCGGCTGGAACAAATTCAATGTCAGACAGAATCTGCTTGTCAAGGAAAAACAACATACATGCCCGGGTGGCTCGCCAGGCCGCTTAACCGGATGAGGTGATGTGTGGCGGAAATGTGCGCTCGTCAGAGGTTACCTTGCGAACAGCGGGACTAATTGGGCAGATTCTGGTGTCGCGAAACACGACAGGGTTTCCGCTGTGAAATACTTTTTCCCCCTCAAGCAACAAAATAACACTCACCCACCATATTTCAATATATGTAATATTTATATTACTTGCACTGCGTCTGTCTGTGGTCTTTTTTTCCCATCAATTGAGACAATCAATACAGCCAATAAGTCAATAAATGCAGTCTGCTGCACGCCGCTGGTCTCTACAGATATGATGCATCGCTCTGTTGATTCACTCTCCACAGACCTGTCCGTCACCCTGGGGAGGCCTGCAGCTGCTCACACGGAGCCACTGATTCAATCAGTAAGTAAGCACCACACCGGCCGTTTGTAGAACACAACTTCCACCTAGTCTCACAACTTCCGCTCAGAGGCTTTTCTTTGCAGCAGCAGCCTCCTCCTCCTCGGCGGGAAGCCGTTTGCTGCCGTGATTTCTCTGCACGACAGATTACAACATGCAATAAAAAGGTAAAAAGGTTGTGAAAACAGTGAAGCAGTGAATTAAATGCAACCCCAACCCAAGCGTCTCCACCCCGGGCTTCATTATCTATACTAAAAAAGGGTCCGCCATATTGTTCTCAGAGGCCAACCAATACAGCTTCATTCGAGCAGACAATCCGATTCAGAGGAAAAAGAAACCCGACGTGTCCCCTTTTAAGAAGAGGCTTTCGCTCTCGGTCCATCTGTGTAGTTTGAATCTCCACCGATGAGGAATCCTTTTCCCCGTCCATGAATGTGCAAATTCTCAGGATCACACGCGTGAGGAAACTCCTCCGACGTGAAAACTGGGATCCAACTGCTCCTTAACGGAAACTCTCGCTCACACACACACACACAGTTTGTCTGCTTCAGGTACAAGCGGAACCACCGTGATACACCCTGCGAGAGCTGCGACGCATGTCGACGTGTCCCTTTTCCTCCCCGTGGGGGTCACGCTGCGCTATTTGGTCCATCAGCATCGAGTAGAGAAGACTAACGTCGGTGGAGCATCGCTCGCTTATCAAGAGGTCACTGCTCAAGCGCCGGCATTTCAATATTAAAATATCATATTTAATTACAGACGATTTGGCACACGGTAGCAACAACAGAACAGTGTGTTTATTCTGGGATGAAACGCTGTAATCCGTCAGTGAGAGACGCTTTTAAGTGTTCACTTTTCTGTTTTATGATCTATAATTATTTAGCACTGTAAAAAGTGCAGCAAATATACGCTAATTAGTTTCAACCAAAACAGTTTGCCTGTCGGAACATCCCTATTTGTAGACGATGCTGGGCTGCTTGGCAGGAACACAGAGAAGGACAAAGTGGACCGGTCTAAATACTGAGGGACAAGCAGGGAGGACCAGGTGATGAAGCGTAGAAACCAGGAACAAACTTAAGTCCCCATTAAAATCCCACCCGGTCTTTTCTCTACTTTAAAAAACAGCCGAACACACGAGTGATGTGATTCCTTTTTGATTGAGTCCCGACTATCTGTGGAATCAACCTTCACCACTAACTAACCCTGTCTGAATTCACCGCCGTGTCCCTCATTTAAATGTAAATACGGACGGATGCATAATGTGCCGTTGCAGCGGAGGTTTGAAATTCGAGCAACGAGGAAAACAAGAAACAAGCAACATGTGACTTCATCAGGAGACAGTCGAGGTTTCCCAACAGCTGTGAATCAAACCCGAAACAAATTACTACCAAATGTAATAAGCCGAAAACGGGAAGCAAGTGTGCGCTCGTCTTTCTCTTCCGTAATGAATCGAATTTTCTTCTCCTTACGGCAATTTCCGTGCGGACGTACCCCCTCACTTCATTTAGCTGCCGCCAGGGCTCCAGCATCTCCTCGACCACACATGGTTTCTGCGTCCACAAGTCGACAGTTGCTGCTGCTGCTGCTTCGGGAGTCAGGAACGCTCCTCTCCTCCGCCTCCATCGCACCCACCCACTCTTATCCCAGACCGGAGGAATCACCCAGGACACCGACGTCCGTCCCGTATGGAAAAAACCCATCCATGGAGAACGACAACAAAGCAAACCAACGATGTTCTTCTTTCTGTACGGTGACTCCTCCGCTCCTGTGTAGTGGAGACAGTTGATGAGACGATGTGCGTTCGGGGTCAAAGGGTCCGCTCGAGGATTCCAAAACAAAAACACCGCTCAGCGTCACAGTTATCGTGTAATAACCAATTAAAACACTAATCACTAAAAGATAGACCTGTGGATAATGTAGACCAATAAAAGGAGCCATACATAATTAATGTGTGTTTAATGAAATCAGCAGAAAATCACATTGGCTCCTGAAGGCTTGCTATGATAATGTGCAGTAATCCAGCTGCAACTGAATGCTATTAACCCACAATCCTCCTTGATTAGCAGTCACAAAAACAAACAACGACTCCATCTCTCACACACACACACACATGGAAAGAGTGAACGACTCATGGGGCAAGCAAGTGACGACGGGGGTCATGTGACCTGTTCCAAAAGTGCGTCTCACTGTGGGCCAATAGTTTTATGGATTCAGTTTCCTGCACAACAATGTCTATTATCAATCTGTTATCGCTACATTCAGTGTTTTTTTTTTATTAATTTCAGACAGAGGATGTATTCAGACAGCGTGTAAACATTTACTAGAGTGGGAGGTGAGTAGAAACGTGAGCGCGATAACCAGCAGAGGACACGTGTGAATCCTTTGTGACGCTCATCAACGTCTCCGTGGACCAACAGCCTTGTTTTCATCCTGAAACCATCCGAACGCGGTTCAGTTTCTCATCCTCCGTGGAAATATTCAGCTACTCGATTCCTTCACATGACAGAACACGTTCCCTTTTGTTTCCCCCCTGGACTCCGCGAGGACAACCCATGTCCCCCCCCAGGTACCTTGATCTGGTCCTTAAGGGGAGCGTGTTCCATCCTCCTTGACGGAGCTCCGTGTCTCCTGTGCTCGGCAGCCAGCGGGGAACATCAACCATCACGGAGGATCAGAAGGAGGCCGGGGAACCTGCAGGAGAGACGCCGGGGAGGGGGCGGGATTTGGCTGCGGGCCAAAACAGGGCTTGTCACGAGTGCTCTTCTTAAGGGGTCCTCTGTCACCTTGGGTTCAAGGCCCTCCAGAACGAAAGTCTGGAGAGAATAGAACATGAAGGGAGTTTAGTGTGAGCTGTTTGTTTCGTGTTCTTGAGCCCTTTCTGGACGGGATTTCATCCCCTAATGAGGTTTTATGTGCACAGGACTCGTGACCTTGGGACCTCTGGTAATGGGTAATAATCGGTGCGGCTGTCTGGGATTCAAATCCCTCGAGATTCTGCCATGTTCCATGACAAGAAATAATTCCGCCGCAAATGACCTACCAAATTTGAACACAGAGGTCGTGTGATAATATTGGTCCCGTGCGAATGAGCAACTACAGGCTGCATTGTGTGCTATTAATTAGAAGCGTATGTTACGCAGAACCGTCAACGTCATGAGCGGATATAATAATGACTTATAAATATGTTGTATAAAGTGACCTTTCCATTTTTATTCTCCTTCTGGTAATTTATTGGATCCCATAAGTGAGGCACTGTGGTCCTGGAGCAGCGGGCCGGGCCTCTGTGTTAACAAACCTTTTGCTCCTCTGCTGAGCGACGGCAGCGCGTTCGAGGTGAGAATCCAAGCAACTGCTCAATTGAACTTTAAAACGCCCAAAAAAACGAGTTATTTGTGCACGTGTTCGTAAAAGTGGAAATGGACGCTGAGCAGGTCGGATCACTGCTTGGTGATAATTGAAATGACTGCAGGGTGAAAACCAGCGTTTTCTACCTGCAGATGAATTACCTCAATATGACGCCAAAGTTGCAGGTTATTATTAGTTCACTGTGAACACCTCATTGTCACACAACGCTGTAACAAAAGGTCACACGAACACGGCACCAATACGCTAACTGCAGACACACAAATAGGCGCATTCAACAGACAAAGACTATATCACATTTATCACAGAATTGCTTTGTTATTTGGTTATTTGGAGGAAGCTTAGCCGGTCGATATAACAAAACTACTGAAGAAAAAAATTGCATTTAGTTATAATGAACTGAATTATGTTTCGCCTAAAACAACAGTAGAAACTACGTCTTCTTTGCTGCTTTAAGTCATTTACATAAAACAGACATCTTGACAAATAAAATCAATATTTGACCTTTTACGCTTTTTCCAACTTTTGACACAAAAGTCTGGTTTTGAACCTTTTGTTTAAAGCTGTTTGTTAAGATCATCGTTTTACATAATTGCAAACTGAAGGATGAGATGCAGTTAGTTAAACTTCCCAGAGTTTTTTAATTAGTCAATTAGTTGACATGAAAAAGGAAGTTACCTAACCATCTCTTTTGCAAACATTTAGTTTATTTACTGCGTTTGTGATCTTGTTTTGTGAGCTGCCTCCAGCCCGGTGCTAATATGGACTTTCAGACTCAGTTTGACTGGTTAACTTTGAAGTGCTGCTCAAATGAAGAATTGAAAGATGAATCAGTGCGTCTCTGGAGTCTTCCCTAAGCACTGTCTGACTCCCTGCCAAATAATAACCCTGCGCCGCTTTCAGCGGAGGCATATTTCATGTGTATGAATCACTCCTGAAATGACTGTGGGGACCCGCTAACAGTTGAGCTGCTCAAGACCGCAGGAACACGTCGCTGCTAGAAAACCCCGATTCCTTCTGCAGGACCAACACCGGAGGACGAGACGGACCTTTCCAAGTAGTGAGACTTAGACCGGGACGAGACAGAATACATTGCGAACTGCTGAGGACAGTTAATTACCCTCAAGTACAAAAAAAAAATAACCCATTCGGTATTAATCCCAGTAAACGACATCATGTTTGAATCAGCGCGTCTGTCGGCGACACCAGAAAGGCCCGTTTTAAAAGAAGAGTCATTTCGTTACCAATCCATGCAGGTAATGATCTCATTAATTCACCGTCGATTCATTTTCAGCAGATATTAACCTTTTGCCAGTAATCATTCATTCTCGTTGGGAGAGGTGTGGCTCGCTGTGATTGGAGCCACACAAACAAAACAATTAACAGGCTGCCGACGTTGGAGGTCGTTCATGACGTCCGGCGGACTTCTTACGCTCAAAT